GTGTGTCCCTATGTGTATGTACGTATGTTCCTGTGTCCTTGTGTGTGTCCCTGTGTGTATCCATGTGTGTGTCCCTGTGTGGTGTCTGTGCTGTGTGTACCTGTGTGTGTGTACCTGTGTCCCTGTGTGTGTCCATGTGTGTCACTGTGTGTGTCCCTGTGTGTGGTGTGTTCCTGTGTGTGTCCTTGCATGTCCCTGTGTGTGTGTGTCCTTTTGTTTCCCTGTGTGTCTCTGCATGTCCCTGTGTGTGTCCCTGCATGTCCCTGTGTGTGTTCCTGTGTGTCTGTGTGTGTCCCTGTGTGTATCCTTGCATGTCCCTGTGTGTCCCTGTGTGTATCCCTATGTGTCCCTGTGTGTCCATGTCCCTGTGTCCTTGTGTGTGTCCCTGTGTCTCTGTGTGTGTGTGTCCCTGTGTCCCTGTGTGTGCACCCCTGTGTGGTGTGTGTCCCTGTGTGTGTCCGTGTGTGTGCCTGTGTGTGTCCCTGTGTGTGTCCTCCGTGTGCCCTCAGGGAGTGGGTGCTGGAGCTGATTGTGGAGTGTGAACCCACACATTCCGTTGGGTTCCTGGGTCCTGCAGGGGTGTGGGGTGTGGAAGGCTGTGGTGCTGGCCAAGGGGCTGTGACCAGCCACAGAGCTAGGTGACCTGTCCCTGCCCTGGCTCCTGGGTGAGTCAGGCTCAGCACAGGCCCACCTGTGCAGTGACCCCACACTCACTCCCGAGGCTCTTGGAGACAGAGTCAGGCTCAGCCCCAACCCTGGGAACCCTGGGAGCCCTGGGAGTCCTGGGAAGAGGCATCTGGAGACCTCTCTGGGGTGAGCATGGCAGAGGGAGAAGCAACAGCTGGGCTGGCATTTGCAGGGGAATCGGGACTGGAGTGGAGGTTGGAATTCCAGGTAGTCTCAGGGTGACGGGGAGCACCCAGGGGCTTGGGAAGGTGCCACAGCCGCCACTGTCAGGGTGTTTTGGCTTGGACAGGGGAGCCACTCTTTTTGCACAAGGGCCAATTTAGAAAAATCTAGAAAACAAGGAGGTCTCAGTCCCCATCGTAGACAACACCCATTTCAGATGGGGATGGCAGGACGGGCCCCACAGGAATGATGTGTTGGGCCCGCCATGCCCTCAGCCTGGCATCTCCTCTGCTCTGTGCCAGGACCATCCCACGCCTGCTCGGCTGCAGGAGAGGCTGAGAGTCAGGGCCTGTGTCAGATTCTGCTTCCGAGAAAGGTGGGAGAAGGGATGTGGAGCTGCAGCACACAGCCGGGGTCCAGCCCGGGCAGCCAGGACAGGCCCTGAGCCCTCAGGCTCGGAAACGGGCACTGTTCTCTGACCAGGGACCACCTGCCTGACTGAGAAAAGGAAGCAACAGGACCCAGCCAGCTCCGGGAGCCTCAATCCCAGAGAGTTGGAGCGGGGACAGTACCGGCTTGCAGGGCCTGCGTGCTGAGTGTAAAGGAGATGGCGCCTTGACAGGTTTAGGGGAGGCTCCTTGCCCTTCTTGGCTCACCGGGGAAGTGCCAGGTGGTGGGCTCGGCTTCTCAGCCCATCCTTAGATCCGCTGGTGCCTGCCTCTGTGGCTGGAGGAAGGGAGGCGGCCACTTGGGCCCCTCCTGTAGAGCTGCTAGCAGCAGGTGGGCTGAATTGGGCCACAGGGAGCCCCAGTTGCCCTCCAGGGCCCTCCCTTCCATGGCCCTCCCTTCCACATCCCTGCAGGGGAGCCTGGTCCAGGTCTCAGAGGAAGAGTCTGGGTGCCCCAGGACAGACCCTAACTGGGAGCCTGGGCTGGGGTGGGGCCGTCCCTGGAGCATGCTGTGGGTGCCCAGGATGCCCTAGCAGAGCAGGGCGGGAATGGCAGAACTGACCCTCCAGCCCAGTGCTGCCCAACCTGCTGGACTCGGGAGACCTCTGCCGGCGGTGGATGGAAGTGCACGGCTCCCCTCTGGAGGAGAGCCCGGAAGCTGAGGAGGCCCAGCTGGAGGGAGGGACACTGCCTGTGCCCCCATCCCAGCCAACTTGGGGTGCGGGATCTGGGGAGCTCACAGCCTTCAGTCTGGGGTGCCAGGGTGGGAAGGACACCAAGAGGCCCCTCATCAAGCACCCTCTCCCCTGGGTGGCCAGGCTGCCTGGGGCCGTTAATTGGCTCTATTCATCCCCTTAATGAGATGGAAATGAGGCTTCCAGACAGAGCCGGCATTGAGTGGGGGAAGAAAGGCGGCTTCTTTCCGGCCTTGGAGGGGCAGCCCACTCCCCCCGACCTGGCCACTGCTCCTCTGCTGCCCCTCACAGCCCACCGAGCTCAGGCACACTGTGGCCACCCAGCAAAGGGTGACTTGAACACCTCTGCACCCTGCACTGCAGACCCCACGGGCTCCATCCCGGCTAATTCCCTCTCTGGCACTGATGCCTTCATTGGACAAACAGTTATTGAGTGTCAGCTATATGAGGGGACACACATCAAAAACAAAACAAGAATAAAAATAGCAGCTACCATTTTCTTAGTATTCATTAGTAGCAAGAGTATGACCGAGACGGGGGATCAGTCTGCGGCTGGGATCGGGCTCTGTATATGACGGGATCAGGAATCCTCTGCCCAGGATCAGAGGTTAGTCTGTGTTGAGGATCAAGGCTCAGTATGTGACCAGGGTCAGGAATCAGTGTGTTGACTAAGATCAAGACTCAGTATGTGACCAGGGTCAGCTTGTGACCTGCATCAGGGCTCAGCACGGGTCCAAAGTCAGGGCTCAATATGTGAGCAGGTTCAGGGCTTGGCTTGTGGAGGCAGGGTGGTCCATCCTTTGGGCCAGTGTTCCTCTTCCACAGCCTCTCCTGATGTGCCCCCGCCCCTTCTCCCCCTACCACATCCTCACCACCTGGGTCACCAAGGTAACCAGCCCTGAAATGAGTGGGTGTTCTGGCAGCTGAGGCCTAACCTGGGTCTATCCTGAAAGGCTGCTCGCTGCAGTGGTTGTCATGGGAACCAAGTGGCATCCTCCGATGAGCCTGGCTTGGACACCCTCTCCCACCCACCGCCAGTTTCCACGTCACTCAGGGTTCCGCGTGGGGGCTGGGCTGGGATGGCGAGGGGGCGTCCTGGGACACACCACCTTGACCTGTTGCCAGGCCCGCCTCTCAGGGACTGTCTGCACTGTTGCCTCAGTCTCGGGGGTGGGATGCCTTCAGCAGGTGAGACCACTGAGGCCCGGAGTGCCTGGGCCCTGGTCAGTCAGTCCTGGCAGGAGGCCTTGGTCTGGTGGGGGGGGGGGATTTGGAATCTGACCACCAGTTCAAGTCCCGGTTCCTCTCCTTGTCCTGAGTTAGGGCATGTGACCAGGCAGCCACGAAGGGACCACCACCTGTTCCTGTGCTGTGGGCAGGTGCCACCCTGTCCCGCCCCTGCGTCCTGGAGGCTGTGCTTGGTCCCCCACACCCCCTGCGCTGTATGGCCAGGCACTGTGTGGAGGAGGAGGCAGCTCAGTTGCTGTGTGCCCTCAGCCAGGTGCTCTCCTCTCTGGGACCTGTGGGAGGGTGGCTGTGAGTGAAGGGAGAGGGTTCTGCAGCAGATGTGGGGGCCTGGAAGACCCCCCGCTCACCCTCTGGACCCCGTCAGGGAGAAGGAGGCGCCCACTCTGTTCACAGCTGTGGCGGGTCAAGCCCCTCCCCTTCGTCCCATCCCCTTGCCCCTGGCACCCCCTGCTGGCCATTCCTGGCATAGGCTGAGGGAAGCTTGAGAGGAGGATGGCCGGGATGGACTGGCCGGACGAGTCACCTGGACACTGTTTGCTGAAAATCAAAGTAGGGCCCCGGGAGTCAACTCTGACCCAAAGGACAATGTCCATGCACGGTCCTCCTCAAATCCTTTTTGGCTGTTTGCCTTCCCACTGGTCAGTCCTGGGAGGTCAGCTATTATCCTCGTGTTGTTAATGATGGGAGTGAGTCCAGGGAGGTCACAGAGGGACCATCGTCGGGGGGGCACCGAGGAATCCGGCGGCTGGTGCTCCCCTGGGGTCTCCTGCAGTCCACACTCCCACCAAGGGAGGTGGGGCCCCTTCCCTGAGGCTCCGAGAGGCCCGGGGGCCCTTTGGTGGGTGGGGGTGGCCTGCCCTTGTCCTGATTGCTGCCCCTGGGGCTTCCCTTGCTGTACCCGGGGTGGAACGACCAGATCCTCAGTGCTCCCCAGTGGCACCATGGGGCAGTGGCCCCGGCTCCATGGTGGGTACCTTCGTGGGGGCTGTCAGCTGTCTCCTTGCCACTTTGGCCATGCCAGGAGCAGGCACTTGGTGAGGGCTGCATGCCCTTTCCAAGTCACCCGACCCTGGTGCACTGGGTGTGCGTGAGCCCAGGCATCCGCCGACGGAAGGTGGAGGCCAGAGTGCTGGGCAGGAGGCCTGGACGAGGCAGCTCCTTCCCAGCCTCCTAGTGCTGCCGCCCCTCTGGCCCACAGACAGCAGTGGCCCTCTCCTGCTTCGCACACAGAAGCCACCCCTCCATGGCTACCCAGTGCTCCAGGACCACAGGCGGCCCAGGGTGTTCTTGGCCCTGGTGATGAGGATGGTGACCCTCCACTGAACCCATGTGGAAACAGGCTCTGATGAGCGGGGCCTGGCCAGAAACTGGATGGGACCTGGGGAGGGCTTCCAGGCACACGGGGAACAAGAGCCTTGGCGGCCAGGCCCCTCTATCCTCTGCCCATCAGCAGGATGCTGTGCTGTGAGGCAGCCCCGGGGTAGGCGAGGTCACCCCTTCTTCACGCAGGCAGCAAACCTGCCTGGCTGTAGCTGGCACACAGGGACCCTTCCAGCTCAGACATCACCTGAGCTCTCCAAAGGGAACCCGGGAGCTGGGGAGATTCCGGACCCCCAGGTCCTCCCAGGCCAGGCCTTCGACGCCACTGCGGCCCCTCCCCGGCCCGGCACGCCTCGGCTGTCTTCACACCCCACCACTTACCCTGTTCAGGCCACGAGCCCCTCTGCCCTGCCCTGATCCCTGCCCTCTGGTTTCCCAGCAGGTGGCTGGAAGCTGTGGTCCCTGTGGGGCGAATGCACGCGAGACTGCGGGGGAGGCCTGCAGACGCGGACGCGCACCTGCCTGCCCGCGCCGGGCGTGGAAGGCGGCAGCTGCGAGGGGGTGCTGGAGGAGGGCCGCCAGTGCAACCGCGAAGCCTGCGGCCGTGAGTGCGGGTGGGGAGGGGCGGGGCCGGAGCCCTGGGGAGGCGGGCCCTGTGAGGGAGGGGCGGGGACGGGGCCTGTGAGGGCGGGGCGGGCCAGAGCCTTGAAGAGGCGGGACCTGTGAGGGTGGGGCGGGGACGGAGCCCTGGAGAGGTGGGGGCCTATGAGGGAGGAGTGGGGGCGGAGCTCTGTATAGTCAGGGCCTATGAGGGAGGTGCAAGGGTGGGGCCCTGGAGAGGAGGGGTCTTTGAGGGCGGAGAGGGGGCGGGGCCCCGGAGAGGCTGGGCAAGTGGAGGCGGGGCCTAGAGCAGAAGGGGCCGGTGGAGGGAGGGGCCTAGGGGCGGTGCAAGGCCTGCGCGGGGCTTGAGGCGGAACCAGGGAGGGGCGGGGCCTGCAGTAAAAGGGAATAGGGTGGGTCTGGGCTCTGAGAAGCGGGACCAAAACTCAGGACTGGCCCGTTGGGGTGGGGACTAGCCAGAGGAGCAGTGGTTAGGACCCCGAAGCGGGTGGTGCTTGGGGCCCGTTGGGGTGGGGACTAGCCAGGGGAGCAGTGGTTAGGACCCCGAAGAGGGTGGTGCTTGGGGCCCGTTGGGGTGGGGACTAGCCAGAGGAGCAGTGGTTAGGACCCCGAAGAGGGTGGTGCTTGGGGCCCGTTGGGGTGGGGACTAGCCAGAGGAGCAGTGGTTAGGACCCCGAAGAGGGTGGTGTTTGGGGCTGCGTGGGACTAGATGGGGTATTTTTCCTGTCTGTGGATTGGGGTTTTGGGAGGGCATGCGGAAGGCTGCTTTGGGAGCCCTGGTCAAGCCAGTTTGCCTGCCCCAGCTGGGTGCTGCTTCCAGAATGTGTTTGTTTAATAAGGCCCTCTAATGGCCTCATGCATTTTTTAGCTGTTTTCATAAAGATAAATCACGTTGTAATGAGACTGTCATTATTTGGGTTGCTTTTTCCTTGGTGAACTTTTTGGGGGAGAAGAGCTCCTCTCAGGAGCCTGGGGAGGGCCCCAGGGCATCGGCTGGGCTGTGGGAGGGAGGCAGGGGCCCTGTTGGGTTGCCAGGCAGGGGAGAGCAGCTGCTCTGCAGGTGACCTCCGGCCTGTGGGTGATGGAGGCAGTGAAAAAGGGGTTACCGGGTGCGGGAGACAGAACCCACAGGAAGGGATCCCTGGCGGCCAGACGAGGACTGGTGCCACGCTGGGCGCTCTGGTCCCTGGCTTCCCAGCTGCCCAGTGGGGCCAGGTGGCCCAGTGCTGGAGGGCTCAGAGCACTGTGGCCACAGAGAGAGATGACGGGGGCAAAGTGTTGCTCTTTCGCTGACCTGAGCCCGTCCTGCAGCCGCTGGGCGCACCAGCTCCCGGAGCCAGTCCCTGAGGTCCACAGATGCCCGGCGGCGCGAGGAGCTGGGGGACGAGCTGCAGCACTTTGGGTTCCCGGCCCCCCAGACCGGTGAGCTGCCGGCAGGGGGTTGGGCAGGACTAGGGCTTTGGGAAAATACTGTAAGTTGACACCACTGCTAGTTATGAATAACGTGCCATAACTAGACTAACCCCTTAGGTGCAGGACTCTCGTTTCCTGGCTGCCTGGTGTTAGGGGAACTGGTGTGAGGTGAAGAGGCCTGTCCCTGGCCAGACCCCAGAGGCCCAGGGATGGCACAGGCTGGCCCTCAGAGCTCACAGCCTTATAGGGGAAAGGGCCAGTTCTTGAGATCAGCCTGCTTCGAAGGCCCGGGGGTTCTGCCCAGCCCCTCTGCCTGCTCCCCAGCAGGGTGGCCCTCCAGCTGTGGGGTCCGGCCGAGGTCTGACTGCAGCCCGATGGGCAGCAGGCCTGTGACACTGTAGTGGGGCCTGCAGGTGACCCAGCAGCTGAGGAGTGGTCCCCATGGAGCGTGTGCTCCAGCACCTGCGGCGAGGGCTGGCAGACCCGCACGCGCTTCTGCGTGTCCTCCTCCTACAGCACACAATGCAGCGGGCCCCTGCGCGAACAACGGCTGTGCAACAACTCCGCCGTGTGCCCAGGTGGGTGGGGCCTTGGGCTGGGGCAGCAGGGGGCCAGGGCAGTGGGGGGTCAGGGCAGTGGGGGGTCAGGGCAGTGGTAGACCAGGGCAGCAGGGAGCCAGGGCAGTGGGGGGCCAGGGCAGCGAGGGGCCAGGGCAGCAGAGGGCAGCAGTGCTTTCCATTTCTCTGCAGTGCATGGTGCCTGGGATGAATGGTCACCCTGGAGCCTCTGCTCCAGCACCTGTGGCCGTGGCTTTCGGGATCGCACGCGCACTTGTAGGCCCCCCCAGTTTGGGGGCAACCCCTGTGAGGGCCCAGAGAAGCAAACCAAGTTCTGCAACATTGCCCTGTGCCCTGGTAGGTGAGAGGGAGGGCGCAGGGGCTGGGAGGAAGGGAAGAAAGGGGAGGTCACAGCGGGTCTCTGGCCAGGCCCAGGATCCCAGCTTTGCCCACTCCAGACCCACCTCAGGGTGCTCAGAGGTTGGAATCTCAGACTGGGTTCAGGAAAGAGATGTGATTTTGGGGCATTCCCAGCCACGTTTCAGGCTGCGTGTGGGTGGTGGCCCCCAGGGTGTTCCCACCCATGTCACAGCCTGCGTGTGTGGGTGGTGGTCCCCAGAGTATTCCCACCCCTGTCACAGGCTGGGTGTGGGTGGTGGCCCCCAGGGTGTTCCCACCCCGTCACAGGCTGAGTGTGGGTGGTGGCCCCCAGGGTGTTCCCACCCATGTCACAGGCTGGGTGTGGGTGGTAGCCCCGGGGGTATTCCCACCCATGTCACAGGCTGGGTGTGGGTGGTGGCCCCCAGGGTATTCCCACCCATGTCACAGGCTGGTGTGGGTGTTGGTCCCCGGGGTGTTCCCACCCATGTCACAGGCCGGGTGTGGGTGGTGGCCCCCAGAGTATTCCCACCCCGTCACAGGCTGGGTGTGGGTGGTGGTCCCCGGGGTGTTCTCACCCCTGTCACAGGCTGGGTGTGGGTGTTGGTCCCCGGGGTGTTCCCACCCCTGTCACAGGCTGGGTGTGGGTGGTGGCCCCCAGAGTATTCCCACCCATGTCACAGGCTGGGTGTGGGTGGTGGTCCCCAGGGTATTCCCACTCCCGTCACAGGCTGGGTGTGGGTGGTGGTCCCCAGGGTGTTCCCACCCCTGTCACAGGCTGGGTGTGGGTGGTAGCCCCGGGGGTATTCCCACCCATGTCACAGGCTGGGTGTGGGTGGTGGTCCCCGGGGTGTTCCCACCCCTGTCACAGGCTGGGTGTGGGTGGTGGCCTCCAGTGTGTTCACACCTATGTCCCAGGCTGGGTGTGAGGCAGTAGCTCCCCGGGTGCTCATACCTACATACCAAGCCAGGCACTGGGGTCCTGGGTGTTCACGCCCACTTCGTGTCCCCTTCCTCCCCCGGGCCGGGCAGTGGATGGAAACTGGAATGAGTGGTCGAGCTGGAGCGCCTGCTCCGCTAGCTGCTCCCAGGGCCGACAGCAGCGCACGCGTGAGTGCAACGGGCCTTCCTACGGGGGCGCTGAGTGCCAGGGCCACTGGGTGGAGACCCGAGACTGCTTCCTACAGCAGTGCCCAGGTCAGGGGTGCGCCAGGCGGGGTTGGGGGGCACCTAACAAGCAGGACCCTTTAGGGAGGAGACAGGCCCCACCGTGGGGTGGGAGTGACCGTGGGCCCTGGCATGTGACTGAGAAGGGATTGGGGTGCACAGTGGGGTCTGGGTGTTTGTGGGGGAAGTAGAGTGTGGGGTATCCATGGAAGAAAGTGAAGTGTGGGGTGGCCTTGGGGTAGTGGGGTTCACAGAGGGACTTGGGGTGTCTGTGAGGGAAGTGGAGGGTGGGTGGCCATGGGGTAGCGGGGTGCATAGTAGAACTGTGGTGTCCATGGGAAAGTGGAGTGTGGGTGGCCATGGGGTAGTGGAGTGCACAGTGGGACTTGAGGTGTCTATGGGGAAGTGGAGTGTGGAGTGACCATGGGAATTGGGGTGTCTGTGGGGGAAGTAGGCTGTGGGTGGCAGTGGAGAAGTGCAATGTGGGGTGCACAGTGGAAACTGGGGTGCCCATGGGGGAAGTGGAGTGTGGGGTGTACAGTGGGAATTGGGGTGCCTGTGGGGGAAGTGGAGTGTGGGGTGCACAGTGGGAATTGGGGTGTCCGTGGGGGAAGTGGAGTGTGGGGTGCACAGTGGGAATTGGGGTGTCTGTGGGGGAAGTGGGGTGTGGGGTGGCCATGGGGTTGTGGGGTGCACAATAGGGCATGGGGGGTGGTGGGGTTGGCTGCACGTGGGTGTTTGCTTTATTTTGTATCCAGCTGATGACTGGTTTCTCCCCTTCTGGTCTGAAATGCCCTTCTCCTGCCTTTCTGCCCCACACCCTGGGTCCCTGCATCTCACTGCTGCATGGCTCTGTGTGGGTCCCTGTCTCTGTGTCCCCGTGTCACTGTGGCTCGTGGACTCTGCCCTCCTGGTCGCCCATGCCCCGCAGTGGACGGCAAGTGGCAGGCTTGGGCATCGTGGGGCAGCTGCAGTGTCACATGTGGGGCCGGCAGCCAGCGACGGGAGCGTGTCTGCTCTGGGCCCTTCTTCGGGGGAGCAGCCTGCCAGGGCCCCCATGATGAGTACCGGCAGTGCGGCACCCAGCGGTGTCCCGGTGAGGCCCCTTCCGCCTGGGCTGGGCTGGGCTGGGCTCTGGGCTGGGCTGGGCACTGCGGAGGGCTGGCAGTGGTCAGGTGGGCTTGGTCTCGGTTGTCACCCACATGGCATATGGGGGGGGTCCCATCCTGTCCTCATAGTGATGCCCACTCTTGGCACCCTGTGGGTCTGGGCCTTCCGGAGCCAGCTGCTGGCTCTCAGTGCCCCTTCCTGAACCCCTGTGCTGCGCCCCTTGTCAGAGCCCCATGAGATCTGTGATGAGGACAACTTTGGTGCCATGATCTGGAAGGAGACCCCAGCGGGAGAGGTGGCTGCTGTCCGGTGTCCCCGAAACGCCACAGGTGAGGGCTGGAGAGCACGTGGTGTGTGGGGCTCCCATCCTGTCCTCATGGTGATGCCACCTCTGAGGCACTGTCAGCACAGGGAGGCAGCCCAGACACGGAGCCCAGACGGCCTGCATGTGCTGGCGCGGGGCAGTGGGGCGGCAAGCCCAGGGCACCAGGTAGGAACTCTGCGGCAGCAGAGGTTCTGAGCACTCACTCCCTAGGGGCTGGCCCCATGCTCAGCCCTAACACAAGACATCCATGGAGCCTCAGCAGCCCAAGAAGTCACCACCACTTACAGCTGGGAAACTGAGGCACAGGGAAGTTAATGCATGTGCCCTGGGCCTGCAGGGACAAGAAGAGGAGGTCTCTATTGAATGCCAGCCCTAAGCAGGGAGACTCCTGAGGAAGGGGCTCCCGCACTAGGGGTGGGCTCGTGGGGAAGGGACCAACTGTCCTGGGGCAGCCTCCTTCGCCCATCCTCCTGTTTATAGGAGTGCAGGTATTTTATGTCCAACAGGCCGAAGGCAGGGAGATTGGGAACCCAGGCTCAAACTCTGGCTCTGCCCTTGTTTGCTGTGTGACATTCAGAAATGGACTCATCCTTCCTGAGCCTCAGCATTCTCGTCTGCAGGATGAGGGCAGCCGGGGTTCCTCTGCTCGGAGGAGCTGCTGTGGGGAGGTGTGGGGTCGGCGATGGGGACCACGTGTTGCCAGCTGAGGCTGCCGCTCCTCCCTTGCTCTCCTGATGACAGAACAGGGAGTGTTCTTGGTAGCAGATTGCAAATGCTGAGAGACAGAATGCCCCGCGTGCACGTGGCACGGTGGCGCACCCCCCTGACCTTTGTCCTGTGTGTGTGGCTGGGTCTCCTGGCGCTGCTCATTTTTGGCATCCTCTGAACCGGGTTCTGCATCCAGGCCCATGGCTCTCATCAGGTGTCGGGGCCTCGACAGATCCCGGTAGCTGTTGACACGCTGTGTGCACTCAGCTATCCCTGTTTCTCTGATGTCCTGGGAGTGAGCTCTGCGTCACAGGGTGTGCTGTGTTTAAGGCTGTTGTTGCCTTAATGCCCATGGCACCCCGAGGCTGCCCCTGCGTCTCCGGGCCAGGCCATGGCCCCTGCAGCCCTGTGCTTGCAGCCAAGTGGGGGCTGGGGTTCTTGCTGTCTCCGGGACTCTGGGTTGGTTAGAAGGGGCTCTGAAGGAGTCCATGGCTGAACTCTGAAGCCCCTTCTTGGCCAAGAGCTCCACCTCCACGCAGTGGGGTCCCTGAAGGCTTAGCTCCCGCCAGGTCCTGAGTCCACGGGGCAGGTGGCGGCTCAAAATGTTTGAAGAGAATGAGGTCCCCGCATGTGCTCTGCTCTCGTGGGGCCACGGGCAAGTCCCTGCTTCTGGGGGCCAGAGGGTCAATCCAGAGGGTCTGCTGCCAGGGCCAAGGGTGGGATTCCTGGGCCAGTCAGTGGGTGTCTGCCTGAGAAGGGGGAGGTCTCCCCAGGACTCATCCTGCGACGCTGTGAGCTGGACGAGGAAGGCATCGCCTACTGGGAGCCCCCCACCTACATCCGCTGTGTTGCCACTGACTACAGAAACATTCAGATGATGGTGAGGCCCAGTGCCAGGGGTCCCCAGTCCCTCTCCAGCCACCCCGGGCACACGGGCTTGGACCCTGCAGAGGGCCCTCAGTGTGGGAGGTCCTGGGTGGCCGCCTGGATGTGTCCCACAGACACGAAGGCACACACCCACTGCATCTTCCGCAGACCCGGGAGCACTTGGCCAAGGCCCAGCGGGGGCTGCCGGGGGAAGGGATCTCAGAGGTCATCCAGACGCTGGTGGAGATCTCCCAGGATGGGACCAGCTACAGCGGGGACCTGCTGTCCACCATTGACATCCTGAGGAACATGACGGAGATTTTCCGGAGGGCATACTACAGCCCCACACCTGGGGATGTACAGGTGGGCTCCCTGAGGATGGTCCTGGAAGAGGGTGTTGGGAAGGTGTCTGGGGAGCCCTCCTGGACCCCAGAGTCAGGTCTTGACTGGCCACAGCCCAGGCCCTAACCCGTGCCATAGGCTGAACCCTGACCTTCGTCTCACATCACACACTGACCAGGGTCAGGGCTTAATGGTCACACGCTAAGCCTTGAACCTGGTCACGCTGAGTCCTGACCCTGGACACAAGCTGAGCCCTGGTCCTGGACACATGCTGAGCCCTGACCCTGGTCACATGCTGAGCCCTGGTCCTGGACACACGCTGAGCCCTGATCCTGGTCACACTGAATTCTGACCCTGGTCACACGCTGAGCCCTGGTCCTGGTCACACTCTGAGCCCTGATCCTGGGCACACATAGAGCCCTGACCCTGGACACATGCCGAGCCCTGATCCTGGTCACATGCTGAGCCCTGACCCTGGTCTCACTGAATCCTGACCCTGGTCACTGAGCCGTGATTGTGTGCCCTGTTCTCTGTCACGGGCTCTTCTTCCTCTTGTTTCCAGAACTTTGTCCAGATCCTTAGCAACCTGCTGGCGGAGGAGAACCGGGAAAAGTGGGAGGAGGCCCAGCTGGTAGGACCTGGGGCCCCCACAGTCAGCAGCCTCAGGAGGGGTGCAGCCAGCTTGTGGCTCCTGGTCTCCAGCCAGCCTGGGGTGGGGCCCCTCTGGGTGCTCTGGGTTCACATCCTAGGATGGCCTCTTGGGCTGGTGTTGGCGGTACTGAGGAAGCTCAGCGTTCCCAGTCTGCTTCCTCATTTGTCTAAGGAGCTGTCATTTCATGGGGCTCAGCAAGGAGGTTCTGGAAAAAACTGAGCACATGGGCATGCCGAGGCGGCTGGGACGTGGAGCCTTCCTCATGGCGGGGAGTGGGCAGTGCTCACTGCCCCAGGCTGACCTCCAGCCAGCCACCACTCCTGTCCCCGGGCAGGACCTGGCATGGGAGCTGTGGGTATCTAGAGGCCCTTCCCCAGCCGGGGTCCCCCATGGGCAGGGCACAGCAGCCCTTCTGGGCATCTGTGTTCTCATTCCCAAAGTGGGTCCTCAGAGGTCACCAGCCCCGGTTCCTCAAAATGTTAGGAAATGGCTGATAAGAAAAGGAGGGATGGGGAAGGGAAGGAGGCAGGGGCTGAGGGGCAGTGCGGCAGGTCTCAGCTCACTGAGCTCTGGCTTGCGGCTTCCTCCCTGGGCTTCCTCCCTGCCCCCCAGGCGGGCCCCAACGCTAAGGAACTGTTCCGGCTGGTGGAGGACTTTGTGGACGTCATTGGCTTCCGCATGAAGGACTTGAGGGATGCGTACCAGGTGACAGACAACCTGGGTAAGCCTGCCCACCCTCTGCCATCCCCCATGCCTGGCTCTGAAGCCCTGGCCGGGCCTTCCGCCTCAGCGTCCTCATCTATAGAGAGGGAGTGACCAGATAGCCTCTGTGGGCCTTCCCGGCTGGCTTCTCAGATGGATGCTGTTTTCAGTCTCCTGAGGGCTGAGGACGTGACCTGGGCGAGGACTGGACACAGCCCAGGGACCACGGACCTGGGAGCTCCATTCTCCAGCCAGTGCCTCATGTGCACCCACTGGGGGCTGGGCTCACGCTGCCTGTCACTCCCGGTGCCTCCCTGTGGAGCGTTAGAATCGGGCTGTGCAGCTCACACTGTCCCTGCTTCTCAGCCTCAGCAGTGCCTTGGCAGAGGGGCCTACTCTCCACCCAGCTCCATGGTGTCAGTCCAGTCAGTTTCCTCATTTCTAAAATGAGATGGTAACAGTGCCCACCTCATAGGGAGGTAGAGACTGACGGGGTGAGTGAGCGCCTGAACCTCGGGCAAAAGCTGGCTGTCATTACCAATAAGCACAGGAATTCTATTTAATGACTGTCACCACGGTGCCCTCAAATACCTCTCAGAAGCCACATTTCCCAAACTTTCCCTGTCTTGATCAGAGACTCCCTTGAAGTAGAGGACCCAGGAGTGGGTGCTGGCCCCAGCTGTGATCCACAGAGCACCAAGGAGGGAGCGTGTCGCCTCCCCTGTGGGGATGCTTAACCTCTAGTGATATGACCAGGATCAGCTGAGCTGTGGCAGCACACACACTCATGCTCTTGTGGCAGCAGGCACAGAACTGCCCTGGGCTGGATAAACATCCCTGTGTTTCCTAAGCTGGGGGTCCTCAGTCCTGGCACTGCCTTCTGCCCTCAGAGCTCAGGATTCCAGAGGTCAGAGCTGGGTGCGCCTCTGAGGCTGGTGGGACCAGCTCTTCTCTCATAGGTGGGAAAACTCAGGCCCAGGTGCTGTGGGAGGTCACCAGTGAGTGGTGTCTGCATGGCTCCAGGCTGGCTATCCTTGGGTTCTGGCCCAGCATCACCCCTCTGGGGTGCTCCCCTTCCTTCCCTGGCCTCATATTCTGGGTGAGATACAAGTGGCCTGGAGAGGGGAGGGTGTCTGTGTGGCCACATGGGGAGTGGGTGTAGGATCGGCTCTCAGCCCTGCTGGCCCACGACATAATTGGTGGCTACCTCCCACAGTGCTCGGCATGGCCTGGGGCCTCAGAGTGGCGCACATACACTTCCAATCCTGAGCACCCTGGTGACCCTCCATGCTTCATAACGCTGTCTCACAGCGTTTCCTGGTGCTGTCACTGAGGGGTAATCTATAAAGATGAGAGGTTCTGGAAGCCAGGAAGTTCAAGATCACAGCTCCAGCTCCGAGTGAGCGCCCTCCTGCCTCAATCTCAGCATGGTGGAGGCAGCGCATGTGACACAGCTCTTCCCATGAAGCCATGAAAGCCATCCTGGGGGCCCACACTCATGACCTCCCAAAGGCCCCACCCCCAAGTACCATTAACAGATGAATTTGGGGATTCAGTTTCCAGCACATGAACTTTCACAGGACACATTCGAGCTGTAGCACGCCCCAGATGCCCTGCGCGTCCCGTACAGCCCACTCACCCGCGCTCAGCCTCACTCACTCCCAGGACCCTGCTTCTCGGCCCATACCCCACCCCTACATCCCTTCCTCACTGAGAGTCAGGAACTAGAAGCCAGTGAGAGTGCCTTCCCGTCGCACCTCCTTATACCTACTAGATGAAATAAATAAACCCTCCCGACCGGCGAGCTATGGGCCCCAATGACACCAAGGCTGCCAGTAGACCAACTATGAAGGCATGAACTCTGACCCCTCCAGCCAGCCTAAAACCCAGAGAACTGCCATGGCCAGGGTTGGTGACCCAGTGGCTTCACCAGTGGAAATACCCATTTCAGTATTAATCTCGTCAGAAGCCGCTTGGCACTCTTGAGGTGCCCCATCCCCAGGCCTAAAACAGACACAGTCCAAGGACATTTAAACAAAGCAGCCCCCACTTCCCTGCGACCAGGCCTGTGCCGCAGGCAGCATTCAGATGTGGCTGGTGGAAACCTATTGCGCGTGACCAAATCCCACTGCGGCACGTCCAACACAGATCGACGTCCCTGTTGTGACGTCACTGGGAGGCTAACTAGCACTCACCTTTTACGTTAAAGACTGAAGTTAGGTGCGGTGGCTCCTGCCTGTAATCCCAGCAATTTAGGAGGCTGAGGCAGGAGGATCACTTGAGCCCAGGAGTTTGAGACCAGCTTGGGCAGCGCAGTGAGACCCTGTTTCTGCAATTTTTTTTTTTTTTTGAGACGGAGTTTCGCTCCCGTTATCCAGGCTGGAGTGCAATGGCGCGATCTCGGCTCACCGCAACCTCCGCCTCCTGGGTTCAGGCAATTCTCCTGCCTCAGCCTCCTGAGTAGCTGGGATTACAGGCACGTGCCATCATGCCCAGCTAATTTTTTGTATTTTTAGTAGAGACGGGGTTTCACCATGTTGACCAGGATGGGCTCGATCTCTTGACCTTGTGATCCGCCCGCCTCGGCCTCCCAAAGTGCTGGGATTACAGGCGTGAGCCACAGTGCCTGGCTCGCAATTTTTTTTAATTAGGCAGGCATGGTGGTGTGCCTGTAGCCCCTGCTACTAGGGAAGCTGAGGCGGGAGGATCACTTGAGCCCAGGAGGTTGAGGCTGCAGTGAGCCACGGTCACAGCACTGCGCTCCAGCCTGTGTGATAGGCTGCCTCTTAAAAAAGAAAAAGGCAAACTTCCAATTTTTCCGCCGTGAAATGCCTCAACTAGAAGCATCAACATGACTTATTGGGATTATTTCAATAATTCTGCCACTTTTCATCCTGTTCCAATGAAAGATTTCAAAACTCGCCCCTTACCTGGGCACACCTGCCACAGCCCGTGCTGGCGCTCGTGACCAGCCCCTCAGTGACCCTGTGTCCGGCCTCCCAGCCCTTCGCATGCTGCAGCGTCTGTCTGCTGGGAAGCTGTGGTAGCGGGTGGGGGCAGACAGACGCTGACGCATGGACGGGTAGCCGGCACAGTTCCTTTGTCCTCACTCCTGGTTCTGTGCTGGTCCCTCCTGCACCCCCTCCCGAGTGCCCACCCAGTCCATATGCCCTCTGCCCTCCATTGGGGCTGCCAGTGACATCCACAGTGCAAACCCCTGTGCTCGGCCCTCCATGTCGCCGCTGCATTTGATGCTACTGATACTCCTGCCCCATCTTGGGCTGCCTTCTTGAGGCTCCACTGGGGCCTGTGAGGGCTGAGACCATGGCCCCAGGGCCACGATCCCACCAGAGCAGTGGTCCCTGCCAACAGTGGCTTCCACCCCAGTGGCACTTCCTCAAACTGTCTAGTTGCCCCCAAACCTGCTGCCTCGTTCCCATGATCCTCCACCCTGAGCTCAGGGCCCTTCCGCACCCCCAACGCCTTCCTTCCCAGAGTGGGAGGGAACACTGGGTCTCCTCTTCCACGGCAGCCTGTGCTGCCTTTTGCTGTCTGGGCCCTGAGGCAGGGCCGCCCCCGCCTGCCTTCTACAGAGAGAGGGGAGGTGGGATCAGCTCATAGAACTGGAGGGCAGCTGGGATCCCCTGTCCTGGGAGGGAGTGGGGGGTGCAGAGGTGGTGCCTGGTCCCTGTCCCCCAAGGACAGACCCCAGACTCTGCCTTGATCACCTTGTGGGCCATGGAGGATGAGAGGGACAGGCCCCCTTCCCACCACTGAGGCTCCAGCTCAGCAGGACCAGGCCCGGCCCAGGCCAGCCTCTGCCTGGTGCTCCTTGCTGTCCCTGCTCCTGGATCTCACCAGGGTCTGGGGACAAGGCTCACCTCAGGAGTGTGGAGCCTGCACAGGGGCCGGGGTGCAGGGAATTGGTGTCTGTACCTTGGGGGCTGGGGCAGATGGCCCCCACACGCCTCCCCAAGCCATGGGCACCCTGTGGCATCACGCTGCACTGCCAGCCTGCACCCCACTCCTGCAGCTGAGGCCCCGCCTCATTGGTGACTTTCCCTCCCTCTCTTTCTCTCTCTCTCACCCCTTTGCCCCTCTACCCGCAGTCCTCAGCATCCATAAGCTCCCAGCCAGCGGAGCCACTGACATCAGCTTCCCCATGAAGGGCTGGCGGGCCACGGGCGATTGGGCCAAGGTGCCGGAGGACAGGGTCACTGTGTCCAAGAGTGTCTTCTCCACGGGGCTGGCAGGTGAGGGGCTCTGGAAGTGGGGTAGGGGCCTTCATGAGAGATGAGTGTCCCAGAGTCAGATGGTCGCCACCTTTCTGGAGTCCAGCTGCTGCCTCAGAGTCGGGCAGTTCTCCAGGGGGTCCCCTTTTGCAGGAAGCCCTCCTTGCTCTCTCTGAGGCCAGGGCCTTCGGATCAACCCTGAGGTCCAGGCAGAGGAGTCAACATGACCTACCTCGATTCAGGGAGGGATGGGGAGCCACAGGTCCAGGAAGAGAGCCGTGTCCTGCCTGCCCACAGCTCTCAGGATGCCCCAGGGAACAGCTTGGTCTCCCTCTTCCCACCTGGGATTCAAGCTGTCCCCCCAGCTCCCTGGCTGCATCGCTATGTTCTTGGGTGGCGTGGGCCTCACCATCCTCCTGGATATGACCTTTAGGACGGATGGTGGAGCCAGGCCAGGCTGCCAAGTCTCGCCCTGGCTGTGGGGACGGTGGGCCGGGGGTGACAGTGCACTTTCTTCCAGAGGCTGATGAAGCATCAGTGTTTGTGGTGGGCACCGTGCTCTACCGGAACCTGGGCAGCTTCCTGGCCCTGCAGAGGTGGGCAGTGCAGGGCAGGTGGGGTAGGCAAGACCACAGCCCAGAAGGGGAGGCCAGGGGGCCTGGGGAAGTGTGGATGATGGGCTGCGTGGGGAGGATGGCGAGGCGTGCAGGGACCCTCCAGGGCACCTCGGGAAGGGCCGGGAGGAGCCTGGGCTGGGCGGCCTCCCCGATGCTGCTGCTCTGGCTGCACAGGAACACCACGGTCCTGAACTCCAAAGTGATCTCCGTGACTGTGAAGCCCCCGCCTCGCTCCCTGCGCACACCGTTGGAGATCGAGTTTGCCCACATGTACAATGTGAGTGTTGTCCGCGTGCACACTCCGGTGCCTGCAGAAATGCGTGTGCACAGATCCTGTCCCAGCCCTCAGCCACTGAGCCTCCGGGGCCTCCTCAGAACAGGTCTAACCTGCGAGAGCTGCTTTTACCCCTGAATTATAGGTGGGAAACAGGCTCAGAGGCGCGTGACTTGCCCAGGGTCACGTAGCAAGTTGACCTGGTGCTGAAACCCCATCCGTGCCTGACTCCCCACCTGGGCTACAGCCGCTCTACCCTCCAGCACCATTGGTCTGGTGGTTTCCCTTCTGAGAAACGGAGCCTGTCCCCTGCTGCCTGGCCCCCTAACACCTGGCCACCGAGAAGTTGGGGGTGCAAGTGCGCCCTCTGCCGGCACCGCCAGGGTGGACGCCAGACCTCGCCTGCAGGGCCCCGGATTTCAGCAGGAGAGCGTTCTCCCTCAACTCCCCAGGCCTTCAGGTCACCGCTGCTGTGTGGCCCCAGCCAGGTCCCAGCTCTGCTCCTTGGAGTTCTCCAGAGCTCTTCGTTGGGCCTCAGGGGAGGAGGGGCCGAAATGCCCTTTGGAGGGGCTGAGAGCCAGGGCCCCCAGGGCACATGTTGCCTGCATTACCACACCAGGACCAGGCAGTGCCAGGTCTTCAGGCTAGGGCTGTAGGAAGCCATGGGGGAACCCAGGCCCATCCTTTCCAGCTGCATGACCTTGGGAGAGTTGTTCAACCTCTCTGTGCCATAGTTCCCTTCCTTATCAATTGGGAACAGTAGGGCTGGGTGAGGACAGAGTCTCACAGCCGCTCGGAGCAGGCCGACACTGAGTACCACTCTCAGGAGCGCTGGCCCCCCACTCTGCTGTCACAGACCCATCTTGGCAATGCCTGTCAAGGCTGTGTCCCAGGAATGCTAGCAGGATGCCAGAGCAGCACAGGGTGCTTACAGAAGCCACTGGTGCCTGGCTGACCCTGCTCATTAGGCCCTGGGGAAAGGGTCTTCCCATCACCCTGCTTCATGCTGGGAGCCAGACTTCAGCCACTCTGCCCAGCCCAGCCACTGGACCTGGGCTCTCGGGGGGCAGGAGCTGCCCAAGGCCACAGGGGTGGTGGGGGCTTGAGCCAAGCCCAGGTGACCTTAGGCCACTGCCATCTTCACCCTTGACTCAGTTTCCCCTCTCAAAATGCAGTCTGTTAAGGGACGCTCACAGGCAGCACACTGTGTCTGGGTCCCAGGGTGACCTGAGGGTCGGGGCTGGTTTGGGCAGTCAGGGCCCTGACTCCTCTCCCGCCTCTCCCAGGGCACCACCAACCAGACCTGCATCGTGTGGGATGAGACGGATGTGTAAGTTCACTTGGGGGTCTGGGGTGGGGCTCGTGGGAGGCTGACCCAGTCGGGGAGGGGTGCAAGCTTTAGGATGCGGCTGCCAAGCCCCTAGCTGTCTGTGTACCCTCATGGGACTCCCTGTCACCACCTGTCACTCACTGTCTGGCTCTGGAGCCCACCAGGCCACCTCCCACCCCCTCCCAGGGAGGTCCACAGTTTCAGGAGGAGCAGGCATGGGATTCCAACCCCAGGCCCAGTAACGGGCAGGCGTCTTGGCCTGACCCCACCCCAGCCCCATGCCTACCGCAGGGGGATATCCTGGTATTCAGGTCTGCAGGTGGGTGCCAAGCGCTGAGGGGCTGTGGGAACCGCGATGGCAGACCAGGGCAGCCTGGGGTGGGGCTGGAACTTCAGGTTCATGGGATGGGGGTGTGGCATGGGATCTTCAGGCTCGTGAGATGGGGGTATGGCCTTGGAGTCTTCAGTGGCCACATGTCCTGTGCCAGTTCCTGGCCAAGCACTTGTCGTGTGCCGGCTGACCAAGGAGCTGCGGGCAGATGAAGCAAGTTCCATGCCTCACGTGAGGTTCTGCATGGAGCAGTCGGGCCGTGAGGTGCCATCTCAGAGCCCTGGCGGTGTGCCAAAGTGGGGCCATCCTCCCGAACCGCGAGGCAGAGGCAGCGATGGGAACCTCACCCGGTCAGAGGAAGAGTCTGTGTAAAGGCCCGGAAGTGCCGGCACCCAGGGCTGAGCTAGGCCAGAACATGGGAGATGGATGGAGCAACGGCAGCCGGGTCCCGACATGCGGCTCCAGCCTGAGGGACTGCCGTGCTTTGGGGAGAGTGTGGTCAGGGAGCTGGGTGTGTGGGACCCACCCCCATCTCCTCCAGAGTTGCTCCTCTGGCTCCCTCAACCCCAGTCCCCCTGGCTGCTCTGACATCACCAGCCCCAGGCCTCCCTGCACCACCTTCCTGGCTGAGTGTGTGTGGTCAGCGTGGCCACCAGGGTGCCAGTGGCATGGGCCACGGTTCCTTGCATGGTGGGTAGTGCAGTGACAAGTGTGTGTCCTGGGAGCAAGGGAAGGCTCTGCCAGGGGCTGGCATTGGAGAACAAGGCTGTCTGGCAGGGAGAGGGAGGCAGCCGGAGCAAGGGCAGGGAGGCTGAGGGCACAAGGAGTAGGGAGCTGGCCAGAAGGAGCGGGCAGAGGCAGACAGGGGCACAGGGGAGGCCGAGGCAGGGGAGGACAGTTAATGGGGGCTGGGTGTCATGACTCTCCACCTACCCATGACCCTCCCCCCACCACCCATCCACCCACTCCTCCTCCCCCCACCTGTTCTTTATACCCACTGCCCACCACCCATCACCGTCCACCCACCATCCATCACCCATCCACACACTCCACCCACTACCCATCCACCCATCGCTCATCCTCCCACTCCTCTGTTCGCCTGTTCTTTAATCTGTCCGCCACTGCCCACTGCCCACCCCTTCCTCCAGCAGTCACTGCCCTCTGACAGGCACTATTCTGGCAGGTCCCAGCCCTCAGCCTCCTCTCCCCAGTGAGGAGGGACGGGGAACAGTGTTGTGATGGCGGGCCATGCATGGACTGGGAAGGGAGGTCGGCAGGGACTGGAGGCAGGCGAGCAGGGGCCTTTGCCCGCCTCCCAGGGGAGGGGAGCTTCTGGCAGGGGCCTGGCCAGCTCGGCTCTGCACGTGAATGTCCAGAGACGATTGTCGCAGGGGAAGGAGCAGCAGTGCAAAGGCCTCAGGATGGGATGGCAGGGTCACGCCGCGCCTCCCGCCTTCTCTGCGCCCCACACGAGACTCTGCTGTCTTTTCTGCCTGGGTCTGTGGTTGGCAGCTGGGCTGGGGAGAGCTGAGTAGCCTGCAGCCCTGGGAACCGAGCTCTTTAGCTCTTATAAGGGTGGAAAAAGAAAATGCAAGAAAAAAGCCCCCCTTGGCTTTGCATCTTCAGGGGTTGGAAGCGCGGGGGCTGCAGGTGGTTCCATCTCACCCCGGAAGCCGCAGCCCTGCCACCAGCACAGGCCCCTCCCTCAGTGCAGAAATGCTCCCTTTGGGCTATTCACTGGCTGCCGCAGCTCTGTGTGGGGGGAGGGGCGTGGTAGCGCCCTGGTCCACTCAACCAGCCGCTGCTGGTGGCCTTCGGGGGCCTTCCCTCTCTACCAACATAAATGCCAACGTGACCAGCGTCCTCGCGTGGACGGCTCCCCCCAGGCTGTCTGAAGCCTGTGCAGTCAATTGCTTTGCTTTTTTCTTCTTGTGCTTTGGGTTCTGGGGTGCATGCGCAGATCTTGCAGGGTTGGTACATAGGTACACACATGCCATGTGGTTTGCTGTCACCATCCCCTCGTCACCTACATCAGGCATTTCTCCCAATGTTATCCCTCCCCAACCTCCCCACCATCTGCCATGCCTCCCCTAGCCCTCCGCCCACCGACAGACCATAGTGTGATGCCCCCCCCCGTGCTCTCATTGTTCAGCACCCGCCTATGAGTGAGAACATACTGTGAGGAAAGCATCCCCTTTAGCCTTCAGGGTAGCAGACTGTGAGGGGACTGACCAGGGAGCCGGGACACGGACACTGCCCTGGGGACCCAGGCTGTGGCTAAAGAGGACATGCTGTGTGGCCTTTGGCAGACCTTGCCCTGGGACCCTCTGGCCAGCGTCTGCCTGCTTTTAGGTAGGGGCAGCAGGATGGTGGTGAAGTCCTCAGGGTGCTTGTCCACATGGCCTCCATCGGCCCTAAAAGTCACAGGTGTGGGGAATGCCTAGGACCCACCAGTCACGCCAGGAGCTCCACTCACCCCGTCATGGGCTGCATGCGCTGAGTGCTAAAGTCTTGGTGCCCGGGGCCAGGGCTTCGGGACAGGACGGGAGGTGGTGCCGCTGTGGCCCGAGCAGTGCCTGGCAGCGCTGTGCCGAGTCGCCTCTTGGGCCCTTAACCCTACCCAGACCCTGCCCCAGGACCTGCGGCCTGTGCTGAGGCCCTGAGGAGCCGAAAGCACAGTAGAGTGAGGGAGGCCGTCCGCTCTGCACCTGGGCAGGCCATGGCTGGCAGGGAGGGATTGGAGCTGACCTTGGTCCCCGTCCTCCTGCCCCTCACTTCCGCTCCGCTCTCAGTTGGATGGCACCTCCCTTGACTGCTGCAGGGGCCACTCCTTGCCCTGTGAACTGTCTCAGAGGAGCTGAGTTTCCCAACTGACTTGAAGTGGAGACCATGGGCAGGGGCCCAGGTCTCTTCCCACCAGGGCACCAGGGGACCGGGTCCAGGCTGGTGTGGGCCTGCGTCCATGTGTTCTTGGATAAGAAAGAGTCCTATGCATCTGGAGAGGGGTTCTGTGTGTGGGGAATGCAGTGCCTTGTAGGGGGAGGGGAGTGGCAGCCATCAGTCACCATCAGCTGAAAAGCAGTGAACTCTTAGAGCCATACGATTATTCACAAGTGAACTATGATTCTAGTCACATGTAAAGCCCAGATCTGAAACTCAAACTGAGTTTCTACTCTGGTCACACACTGAGTTCTAATCCTACTCACTCACTGAGCCCTGATCTTGGTCACAGGCTGAGCCCTGAACCTAGTCACATACTGAGCCCTGATCCTGGTCACAGGCTGAGCCCTGAACCTGGTCACATGCTGAGCCCTGATCCTGGTCACAGGCTGAGCCCTGATCCTGGTCACATGCTGAGCCCTGATCCTGGTCACAGGCTGAGCCCTGAACCTAGTCAGTCACATGCTGAGCCCTGATCCTGGTCACAGGCTGAGCCCTGAACCTAGTCAGTCACATGCTGAGCCCTGATCCTGGTCACAGGCTGAGCCCTGAACCTGGTCACATGCTGAGCCCTGATCCTGGTCACAGGCTGAGCCCTGAACCTGGTCACATGCTGAGCCCTGATCCTGGTCACAGGCTGAGCCCTGAACCTGGTCACATGCTGAGCCCTGATCCTGGTCACAGGCTGAGCCCTGAACCTGGTCACATGCTGAGCCCTGATCCTGGTCACAGGCTGAGCCCTGAACCTGGTCACATGCTGAGCCCTGATCCTGGTCACAGGCTGAGCCCTGAACCTGGTCACATGCTGAGCCCTGATCCTGGTCACAGGCTGAGCCCTGAACCTGGTCACATGCTGAGCCCTGATCCTGGTCACAGGCTGAGCCCTGAACCTGGTCACATGCTGAGCCCTGATCCTGGTCACAGCCTGAGCCTTGGTCCAGTTCGTATATTGAGCCCAGATCCTAGTCACACATAGTCCTGACTGTAGTCATACACTGAGCCCTGATCCTGGTCACAGCCTGAGCCTTGGTTCAGTTCGTATATTGAGCCCAGATCCTAGTCACACATAGTCCTGACTGTAGTCATACACTGAGCCCTGATCCTGGTCACAGCCTGAGCTTTGATCTAGTTCGTATATTGAGCCCAGATCCTAGTCACACATAGTCCTGAATGTAGTCATACACTGAGCCCTGATCCTGGTCACATCCTGAGCCTTGGTCTAGTTCGTATATTGAGCCCAGATCCTAGTCACACATAGTCCTGACTGTAGTCATACACTGAGCCCTGATCCTGGTCACAAGCTGAGTCCTGCTCTGGTGTCTTAGCTGGAATGACTTGGTGTGTGTCACATGCTTGTAGGGCCGCCTCCTCTTGCAGCCACATACAGCAATTGGCCATGTGACCTGCTCAGCCTTCCACTGCGGCACAGTTCATCTGCCTGCCTGGCCCCGGTTGTGCACACACACTTGCACCCATAGCTCAACACCCACACCCATGATGTCTGCTCCTGCTCTGTAAACCCTGAGCCCTAGAAGCACCTAGTGTCCCTGCACCCCAGCAACCAGATCTGTAACCAAACCCCACCCTCCCAGGCCCAGACACCCTGGATCATCCCATCCTGAATGATGGCCTGGCAGCATGGCTCAAGGGCTCCTCCTCCCCCATAACCCTGCACCAGCCCGGCTTGTGGTGGTGAGGGCCTGGGGCCTGGAGATCCTGGGAGGAAAAT